CTTGCTTATTTTTCTTCTTAAACCTTAATCAGAACATTACAGCTCTGCATAAAATGTAGTGAAAAATAAGTTGGAGTGTTTGGGGACCCCATTTGTGGAATTCAGTCTCAGGAGACTTCTTTGGTGACACACTTGATTTTATTGGGTAATCAGCTAAAAATATTGGTTGCTGGTGCACAGTTCAGATAGCTTTAAGATGAGATGGAAAGGAAAACACAAAGTTTTTGGGTAATGGGCATTCTTAAGTGCATGGTTCAGACCAGATGAACCCTTTTGGAGATGATTTCCATTTTAAAAGAATGTACTTAAAAATACTGTTGACTATGATGAATCCAGATCCCTGAAGAATGGCACTGTGCTATTTTTTTTTTAACTGTTCTATTTGTATATGCTTCTTAATGACTGTAATGAATTTGGAAGCACTGAAAAAAATGATTTTTAAAAGTTCTCAGTGTTCAGTTATTTAAGTGTGATACTTAAAAGTTGAAATCATTTTTTAAATGTCAAAATGTCTTTTGTACAGAATATTTTATTACTTTTGTAATATCTTGTATACAGTGATTTTTTTTCTTGATAATATAATAAATGGAAAAAATTCTAAAACCCTTACAAAAATTTGTTGCTGTTTGACTTTAAAATTATCAAGTTTTCTTGTATTTATAGCGTCCTCCTTAAAGAGAAAGGCAGTTTTGGTTGCTTAGAAACATTAGACATTTTTATGGAATGCTGTATCCGAATATACTTACATATGTAACTGTCCTTTAAAGTGATAATTTTTGGGCTTCCCTGGTGGCGCAGTGGTTGGGAGTCCGCCTGCCTATGCGGCGGACGTGGGTTCGTGCCCCAGTCCAGGAAGATCCCACATGCCGCGGAGTGGCTGGGCCCATGAGCCATGGCCGCTGAGCCTGCGCGTCCGAAGCCTGTGCTCCGCAACAGGAGAGGCCACAACAGTGAGAGGCCCGCGTACCGCAAAAACAACAAACAAATAAAATAAAATAAAATGATAATTTTTGTAGAGTACTGAAATGCCTTTTAAAGAGATTTTCATTTTCTGCCTTCCTGACTTAGTTCCTGCCTGTCTCTCTCCCTTCCTGAACAATTCAGGACAAAAGTCATTTGCTTATTCTGAGCAAGGTACAGTTACCTATTGCCACAGGGGGCGAAGATGGTGGCCCATTGTGAGATTACAGTGTGGAGCCTGGGAACATTTGAGGGTAGTAGGAAGGGGAGTCTCAGTGATCTGAAATAAGGATGCAGCAACAGGAGATTGGTTACTTATGAGGGGGAATGATCTATTAAGGAAAATATTAAGGCTAATGGACCCAGATTTCTCACTGTCAGAAAGGACTTACAAATGCGGAAAGGGGGGAAAACTAGAAGAAGGTTGGAATCGGAAGTACTGGTATAAACTCATAATTTTCAATATATGTAGATAAGTATATAGGGGTGTGTGCATGCATGCATGCCATGAGAGGGCTTGGTAGCAGCAATGCCACAAGAGCAGTGAGCACACCTAGTGCCCAGATCTTTTTTCTATCATTTTCCATGAAAAGGAACCAGTTTTTCTTAGAGAAATAGCCCATTCCAGGGCTGGTGTAGATGAAATACAAGATGAGCCTGGAATGTCTTTGTATTAGAAAGTAAGAACATGCTCTAAGAATGATGGAGACATGTCACAAGGACAAAGGAGCCATCTTGAAGGGACACCCACTGGCCACGTCAACACTTAGAAATCAAAATAAATGTCAGTAACAAATTATAAACCATCAAATAAAATAGGAAGCCATGAATCCACAAGAAGGGAAAGCTCTACCTTTCAGTGTAATGCCAAAAGGAATGGTGGAATTAGAAGACCATTTGATAATCATTGTGGTAATAGATTCAGGTGAAAATCTTCAATAAATGCTAAAACTAGTGAATGAAAGTTTGAAGGTCTCCCTACAAGATACTTATTAAAGGGAAAAAAGGGTAACTATAAAAGTGAAGGAGATTGGCACACACCACCTTCGTTAACTGATCAAAGCCCAGTCATCAGTAACTGCAGTGATCAAAATTGTGACATCTGAGAAGATGCAAGAAGATCATCTCCCTTCTGTGGTATTCTTGCTAGAAAGGTACAAACTGAACCTAATTATAAGGAAACATCAGGCAAGCCCAAATGAGGAACAGTCTGCAAAATAACTGGCCTGAAATCCTCAAAAATGTTGAAGTAAGGAAAGTCAAGGAAAGACAAACTTTCAGATTGGTGAAGATTAAAGAGACAGTTAAATACAAAGTATCATCCCTTGACTATGAAGGACATTGGGGGGGGGGGGGGGGGGGGGTCCTGTGGCTTATATAATAGTAATGTTAGTGTTAATCTGATTTTGATAGTTACATTGTGAGGAAGTAGAAGAATGTCCTTGTTTGTTGGAATTTGTCCTTGTTTGTAGGAATTACTAATGCATTCAGGGTGATACATTTCTGGGAAAAACATTCTTTGTACTTTACTTGCAAGTCTGAAATTATTTCAAAATGAAAAAATTGAATTGAAAAATTTATTTTCTCTATAATAATAAAGGGCAGCATTTAAAAAAATCAACTCAGGAAAGCTTACATCAAAGTTCATTATCATATGGACTTAAAAATCAAAGAATAAAGCCCCAAAAGATCTATCTAAGTAAGATGGCTTTTTCTCTTTGGAAATAGAAATTTAACTTCTAAATTGATTTCATATAACTTGTAAATGAAACCAGTTACCTTACTTGGGAAATTTTTCATTTTACCAAATTTTTTTCCCCCCACTTTTCCAGGTACTCGGTGTTTTTCCTAAACTAAACCACGGACTATATTTGGGACAAAGAGATACTAAAAGTACAAAGGGCCCTTTCTCTTAAGTGTTTTTTGTTTTTTTTTAAATAAGCTATAGAAGATCACAAAAGTAATTTAAAAATATTTTTATATAGGCAAAAGTTAAACTACGTAGTACTCTCATGACTTAATGTCTTCTGTTCTGCTTAAATAAAGACCTACATTCATTTTTAACAACCTATGTCTCATATGATATTTGGAATAAGTATTTGCAGCTAATGCTTACTCTTGAAATTCTGTATAATCCCAGGAATAGAAATTTAAGAAACAAGTCTTCTGATTTAAGTTTGCTAAGGAGATTCTTAATTCTTCCATTTGCAGATCCACTAAATTCAAAGCTGAGCCAAAAAGAAACCTGCAAAAGACTATTTCCCAAATTATTTAAATCTCTTTTGTAGCAAAGTTTCCTCCCAAACTGAGAAACATTCACACAAACGTTCTTACCTTTTTATCAAGTTTATTTCTATTATCCCTTTCTCATTTACCGGCATTGAAAATAATGAAAAAGTTATTTGCTATTATTCACATATGAAATTTCTTCATGTCAGTTAAACTGTTTTCCTGATTCTTAAGGTGAATGATACAACTTAGTATATCTGAATCATGTTTAATGTAGAGATGGGAAATTGAATAATCCAATACTATCCAAGTCACATGTGTTCCAAAATAAGCTCAGAAAGCTGAATCAGGGTGATGGAAATTGCACTTAAATCTGAAATTTTAATGAGACTCTTTTCTGAAACTTTTCTCTTAATGATCTATCCATTTTCTTTGCTTCTTTAATGTTTTTCCTCTTCGTAGTACCAACTAATGATTAACTAATTAACAAATGGTAATCATATGAGCTCACGTGAAATTTACTTGGGCAATTTTTTGGTAAGCTTGATTTGGTATCTAAATTCCAAAAGTCAATTCTCATGGTTATGTCCATTAAAATGACATTCTTGGTTGCCTCCTTCATGTAGCAGATGCTCAATAATAAGATTTATTAGAAAAGACCCTAGAGACCGGGAAACTTCAGTCCTAGTCCTAGATATGGAAGTAACTAACAATTTTAGATAAGTCAGTTCACTTCTATTCTTTGGTTTTCATATTTATAAAGTGGAGATAATACCCTATCTACCTGATGAAGATGTTTGAAACTGGATAATACACTGAAGCACTCTGGAATAATATCAGCTTAACTTTGTTTAGCAATGTCAATTTTTCAAAATTTTATCCCTGGGATTGAAGTCATTGAAGGCACTTGTGACTCCTTATTTAAAAGATTTATGAAAGTCTCTTATTATGGTATGCCTCAATTCCTAAGGTCTCACATTCTCTCCCCCGGGAAATGTACTGACAATTTTAGATTGTCAAAAGAGTAACTTGGAGTCATTAAGGTTTGTGACAAATTGTACCAAAACACACTTCTATTGGTAATAGCTTGCTTGAAGCTTACTGGGAAAAATATTACTGATGTCAGATTTGCATCTGGTATCTTAGAATATTACAAGGATACTGTGCTGCATAAATCTAGATGTAACTTTTATCAAGATCATTTAAAAATTTTTAAACCTGATTTTAAAAGTGGTATCTGGGCTTCCCTGGTTGTGCAGTGGTTGAGAGTCCGCCTGCCGATGCAGGGGACGCGGGTTTGTGCCCCGGTCCGGGAAGATCCCACATGCCGCAGAGCGGCTGGGCCCGTGAAGCCATGGCTGCTGAGCCTGTGCGTCCGGAGCCTGTGCTCCGCAACAGGAGAGGCCACAACAGTGAGAGGCCCGCGTACCGCAAAAACAACAAAAAAAAGTGGTATCTATCCTGTGGAGGGCAATTTTGCTGAAAGAAATTACAGCTTCTCAGATTTTCAGAGAATGTATCCTGTTTGTGTACCTCTCTGAATGAATGGTTTCATTATTCATAGTTTGGCTTGTGGGGGGTTGGAGAAGGAACGTGAAAAATCATAAGACATCCTTAGAACAATTCAACACAAAATATACATGTACATAGATCCTGAGATGTTACAACAAATTTAAAAATAGATAGATCAACATGATCCAAATGGTTTCCAAGACACCGTTATAGTGGGTAAAAACAGCCATCTTACAGTGTATGCTGAATGGACGTCCACATTTTGCTGGAAAACCCTACTCTTTGTTTCCCATTGAAAGCTAGTCATCCAGAGCAGGGGGCCAATCAACATCTACAGACTAGAAAGAAGAAAACAAGTCATTAAAACATTATTGTTCTAGTAAGCATTTGCTGGTAATGCTGTATAAATCTAGTAGTTTTAATATAATGCAACAGAAGAAACTGCATTGGAAGAAACCCATTAAACACCACGATTTCACACTCTAAAATCCATTCTAGGACCTGGGATTCTTGGGCCTGAGGTCTGTTCCTGAATTCACAGAGTATTTGGTTACTCAGCCAGTTATTAATTGTACCTTTTGGTCAATACAAGACTAGAGTATGTTTAAATTTTTCAAATGTTATTTATGGGAAAATTAGCAAATAATGCAGGGGCCAACACCAACTTTCCCTCAGAAGTCTCAGGAACTTTTAGACTGTTTTCATTTTCCCATCTTGCATTTAACTTATAATCTTGTTTGTAACTTAGCAACTAAATGTGAAGTAAATGGTTATGAAAGATCACCTGTAACTAGAAAAGGATTAGAGATCTTTGCATGTCACTTCAGCAGAATTTTTGTTTCTTTTAAAATTGAATTTATCTATCTCTACTCATCCTGGTTTGGCACTTCTAGAACGAAACCTTGATCTTTAAGTCATAATGGAATTACAGTAGCAGACTATTTGTCTCCACATAAATAATCATGTCCCAGGCATTAGAAGTATGAAATTGCACTTTGCCTTAACCACCCTAGAGGGCCTAATTTAGAAGTTAAAACAAAAAAATACAAAAAACAAACAAACAAAAACAAAATAACTACCATACCCATGTAGTTTTTCGAGACTTAAAGTGTAAAACCTGAAACGATTTACTACAAATTATTTTTGAAATTAACCTGAGTCACTACCAGATTTGGAAATTTTTATTAGAAAAGCCCAAATAAGTATATGTGTGTGTGTGTGTGTGTGTGTGTGTATCTTTTACAGATGCCAAGAAATACTTTGGTTTTGTTTCAGAATATAGCCATAAAACAAACACCCATATATAAATTAATGGGTGGTTTCTCAAGCCTGAAAACCAAACATTACTGATCACAATCTTATATGTGTAGAGGTCAGGGGAAGGTAGGCATGTTTGTAGGGTTTTAAAAATTCTACAGGTGGGGGCTTCCCTGGTGGCGCAGTGGTTGGGAGTCCGCCTGCCGATGCAGGGGACACGGGTTCGCGGCCCGGTCTGGGAGGATCCCACGTGCCGCGGAGCGGCTGGGCCCGTGGGCCATGGCCGCTGGGCCTGCGCGTCCGGGGCTCCGCAGTGGGAGAGGCCACAGCGGTGAGAGGCCCAAAAAAAAAAAAAAAAAAAAAAAAAAAAAAAAAAAAAAAATTCTACAGGTGATTGCAATGGACAATCAGAGCTGAGAAACCCCGGCCTTTGGCCCTTTGACACTCCTAAGCTGTCCTAAGAATTAAGGCCAAAGATGAATGCATTTGGGATTTTCTTTAAGAGAAGGTTGTCTTCCTCAAAATGATAGTCTTACTAAGAAGACTCCCTGCAACCTTGAAGATGCCATCACTGGTTGTACCACAGGGTATAAAATCTAATCTGAAAGCACTCAAGAGAAGTGCTGGTAAAGCAATGACGTTCCAGTGATCATTTGATTACCATGGCTGTTTTCATACTAGGCAATTATACCCACTTCTTTTTATTTATACTGAGATTATTCCCAAGTGCAAAAATTCCTTTTTTTGTGTGGGGTGTGGGGAAGCTGTTCTTAACCAGATATTTACCAAAGTGCACAACTCGTGACTCAATACCTATTGATACTCAAATGAGAAAAATGTTTATGGAGAATTGTCTGAAAGATCCATTCATTCCATTCTTCCAATTACTTAAGAATGTAATCTGATTTCAATTCAGACTATAAGAGCAGAGAATTTCTCTTATACCACATCACAGAACCCTTATAGAACTGCTTTTATTTATAACCATTAGCTCATCCCATTTTCTATCCCTGTCCTGAATATATGTTTCTGAGGAGGCTGCCTTAAATTCTTTATAAGAGAGTCCAAAGGATATATGAAGGGCACTTACAACTTCATTTCCTTGCTTGGTTTAAGGGTTTAGATCTCATGTCATATGTAAAGCAGTTAGTAAATTAGCTATATATTTGCAAGGATTATAAATGAGACCTTGTGTTTTTTAAAAAATAAAAATTCTGAAGATAGTCCCTCCCTGCAATTCAATGCTACTGTGAGATTTTGACCATTTTCAAATACCTATTAAAGTGAATTGTACTATTTGGTTTAATGCTAAAAAAGCATAACCTTGGCTGATTCAGTGTACAAACAGGCATTTCCACAATAAAATGGTTTACCTCAACATCCAGCTCAAGAATGTCTGCAGTCACATCCATCAGAGAGCAAATGTTCGGCTTCGTTCTTCCGAAGTCTCCATGTACAAACTCTTTAATGTAGCTGGGTTTTGTTTAAAGAAAAAATGAAGATAACCATGCAATACCAACTGTTTGATGAGATTTGACAGGTTGAAGGGGAAATGACAAACAAAAGCAGAAAGGTTATAAAAGGGAGTTTATTTCTGAGCCATGACTTGGGATGTATGTCTTAGAAATTACAGCTATGGCAATAAATAAACTAAGGATGGCAAACTGGTTCCTACCAGCCTGGCAGCCAACACTGGGACCTAGGGCCGATGTCAAACTTCCCAAGAGTCATGACTTTTCTTTTGGCTCAGCTCCAAGTGCCAAGGTTTGAATATGGATTTTTTAAATTAACTAGAGTTCAACGCTTTAAAAAAAAAAAAAAAAACTCAGCTATTTTCTTTTTTGCCACAGATTCTATTTGGTCATCTTTTTGGTCTCATCATTTTTCGATAATGACAGCAGGCGGTTGCCAAATGGTAGGTTTTCACAGGGTCACTCACAGAGTGACCTCAATGATGGCTTTCCTTATAACATGACCCAGTGACAACAGCAACAGGATGGGAGAGAAAATGAACTTATTAATTTAGACTTGATGAAGGCCCTTCAGAAGGATCATCAAAGGACGTAAATTTTAGTTGTTTGCAACTCTTGCATGGTTAGCAATAGACCTAATTCTTTTTGTGTGTGTTTTCCTCATAGATCTTCAAAATTTCAAATTTCAAAGTCAATGACTGATCCTAGAATTATTCAGATTACCTTAACACTCCTTACACAGAACTCTACTATAATCTTAACAATATTTTATCTGAAAGATGTGTTTTTGCCAGCATTCAGTAAACACTCATTTAGCATTGTTGTGTCCATAAAGCAGCGCTTAGTATAAAAATTAATATAATTTGAATATAAAAAAGTTTACTCTCAGATGATAAATAAAAAGTTAACACCATAATATGCTGACATTATGTCCTCCTCACTTTCTGATAGTTTGTTTTCTATACTTTCACCAAATGCTTTGACTCAAGCATAAGGCATATAATTACCTATTAACTGTCTTCTTTGCTAAACTCATAATTACTCAACAATTGTCCTTTTTCTCTCACTTCTTTAGAGAGTGCTACTTCTAAGTAGCAATGATGAGGGGAGATGACCAAAAAGCCCCCGAATAACCAGTTAAAAGGTCCAGCATGTTTTCTATGAGGGTATAAGTCAAATGAACTACTTCAGTATACTGAGCAATATACGAAAAGAATTCACATACTTCTGTGTATAACCACGTGGTATCTAAAGTTTTACCAAATAGGGGCTGCCCTGGTGGTGCAGTGGTTAAGAATCGGCCTGCCAATGCAGGGGAAATGGGTTCGAGCCATGGTCCGGGAAGATCCCACATGCCGTGGAGCAACTAAGCCCATGCACCGCAACTACTGAGTTTGTGCTCTAGAGCCCGTGAGCCACAACTACTGAGCCCGCATGCCTAGAGCCCATGCTCTGCAACAAGAGAAGCCACCGCAACGAGAAGCCCGCACACCACAACGAAGAGTAGCCCCCACTAGCCGCGACTAGAGAAAGCCCGCGTGCAGCAATGAAGACCCAACGCAGCCAAAAATAAATAAATAAAATAAATTTATAAAAAAATAAAGTTTTACCAAATAGCCTTTCTTGGCTAATGCCTTAAGTACATGTACATGGCTGGTTCTAAAAATATGTTAATGAGATTGAAAAGACATTAGCTTCTCCATAAGACCATTGCATTTCTTCCTAGCACACCAAAACCAAAGCTGAAATTAGGTAAAAATATGTTTTTAAAATCTGTGATTTCTTTGAAATTCCATCCACATTCCATCTACAATAGGCAAATGTGCTCCATGCCCACTGGTCTAAATAGATCCAAACTGCAAAAATTTAGAAGATTTTAGGAGTAAATAACCTGTACCTGTTTCAGCTTAGTCAGTCCTGGGGTG